CCTTCATGCTGGGGTCTCCGAGTGTCTAAACTGGTCCAGAACATTAAATGAGAATGGCTGATACAGCAGCCTGTCTGTGCTTGCAGCCCAAGAGGTCTCAGAGGCTGTAAGAGCAGTAAGGCACTGCCGGGCCCTATGCCTGGCTCCTGTGGTGCTTGTGCCCATGGTGCCTGGGTGCTGTGCAGGGGAGGTGCTGCCCTGGTAGCCCTGCCACTGAGTGAGAAGGGGTAAAGTCGGCAAGAGGCTAAGGGTCCAGGAGGGTTACCATGGTCACAGCAGATAGGTTCCAGGACCCCAAATCCATTCTTGCAGCAAACTGAGTTGTGACCTCCTTGCACTCAGTGTGGCTGCAGGGGAGCTGTCAATAGCCCCTATTAGTGGGCGGCAGATACTGGGAGAGGAGGCCAGAGGGCTGGCAGCTTTGCTTTCTCTGGGAAGCTACCACCTCTAGGCGTGTGGTGGGTGGCACACAGTCCTGCCTAAGAGACAGCTTCCCCACAGCTGGGACAGAGGGAGACTGCCCTGGCCACAGCCCCCAACTTGACCACCCCTCCCTATGGATGTGAGCAGAGGTTTTGAGGAAATGCTGCATGACACAGACTGGGGGGACATCCTGACCCTATAGTGTTTTTCATAGTTTTCTTAGCTCTTCTCTGGCCATCCTGTGCATGCCCTCTAACGTTCAGGTCAGTGGGGGACAGCAGTCATCCTATGTCACCAAAAGAGAAGCTGAGGCTTAGGAGGGGCTGAAACACCAGAACACTTTGGGGGCAGAGGCCAGATCCAAAAGGCTCCATTGGCCCCTCATCTGTTGGAGAAGTGAGGCCCCCAAAGAAGGGCCAGGGGCTGTAGGGACAACACAGGAATTTACACCAGGGGTCATACATCAGATGTTAGCAGCATTTTTACTTCCATATCTAAACACCCTGGGTCCTCACAACAGCCCTGTGAGGTAGGTAGGGCAGGATGGTTTCAGAGATCCCCATTTACAGATGAGGATGCTGAGGCACAGAGAGGTGAAATGACTGGCCCAAGGTCACACAGCCAGAAGTGTAAAGGGCCCAAAGCCAATATTACTCTGGCCCCCTGGAGGTTTCCGCATCCATTCTTCCATTCCCTCTGTGTCCCCTGCCCTCTCTGAACTCTCTGGTGCCCACAGGGGTCTTCAAGGCAAGCTGGCAGCTAGGGTTTTTCAGGAACAGTCATTGGGGTGGGCCTGGTCAACTCCAGGTAGACACTGACCCTGCAGGGCATGAGGCCAGCTCTCCCCTCCCCCCACTTCCCCATAGGACAGCGGGCCCAATAGGTTCCAGAGCAACAGTAGAGCTAGGCATGGTCCATGAACAAATGGGGGTAAAGGTGGTGTACACGTACGTATGTCCTACGCTAAAGATGGAACACCCCCCTCCCCCCCTCAAGTCCCCGAGGCAGTGTCTCAAGTTTCCATGCCTGTGCCTCCCTCATCCCACAGAGCCACAGTGAGCTTCCTTAGCAGCACAAGGAGTCACAGATATCTGCGTCTGGCATTGAGCTGCTCCAGTGGACAAGGTCCCATCAGGCATTCAGACCCCATCACGTAGACACAGAGCCTCCACAGCTTGGCTGGGACCCTGGGCCACACCCCCAATGACAAACAGCCGGGGCCCTGCCTGCAGACTAGAACAGGAGCAACGTGCTGTGGGCATGACAGGCAGTGCCTCCCAGCGCTTCCGTGCAAGGCTGAAGCCCTCCACAGAGCCCAGAGGGCATGGCTGGTTTCCTGCAGGAAGGAGACAGAGGTTGTGAAGGGTACAGGCTGCAGGGACTCCAGTTCTTTTGCTCTCTGAGTCCAGAGTATGACTCAGCAGGCATCACCCCAGGATGGGCTACCAGTGCCTTACTGCTCATTGCCCCCATTTACCATCCATCCATCCATCCATCCATCCATCCATCCATCCATCCATCCATTCCTATTTGTCCATTCACTCCATGGTCATTTGTTGTTTCTGTCTCCTAGGCCCCTGCTGGTACAGAGTCCTGAGTCAGGCACTGAGGATACCCTAAGGGCTGGGCCATGCAGATCACACCCTGCTTGCTTCACAGATTGGGAAAGGGAAGCTCATGAAGCCCTGAACCCTGGAAAGCCTAGAGAAGGGCAAGAAGTGGTGCTCAGACTGGAGGCCACTCCTTCTTGCTTGGGCTGCCCTCCCATCCCTAGCCCCAGAAACTCACCAAGGCCCCCGATGGCCACGATGTGGCCCCCGAGGGAGCCAACCACGAAGTCGGCCCTCTTATCCCTCATACGCAGGCCACGGGGCAGCTTGGTCCAGGACCCTGCAGGAGAGGACAGGTCAGATCTGGCCCCCCACACTGCGCCCCTCCATCCCATGGAGAGACAGCCCAGGCCAGTCACTGCTCACCATGCTCCAGGTCGAACATCTCCACAGTGTTGACAAAGTGTGGGCGGGAGTAGAAATTGTGGGGCCCAGGCTGCTGCAGGCCACCCAGACTAAAGACGCTGCCTTCGGCCATGGCGCAGCCAGCAAAGGCCCGGCGGCTAGGCAGGCTTGGGTGCCGGGTCCAGGTACGGGCCTCCAGATCAAAGGCCTCAAAAGCAGTCACTGGGAGCTTGCCCTGGCGGCCCCCTGCCAATGGAATTGGGGCACTTGGGAGGGAGCCCCAGAGGCCTGGCAGGCTCCTCCTCCACCAGGTTGATGAACCTTCTCCACTGCCCACCCCAGCCACCTATACCCAGCTATGTGCGCACCAGCGCATGGATGGCCCACCCCTCAGATCCTCAGGCACTGGGGTTTGGTTTTCCAGCTGCAGCAGGGCCACCGGAGGTCAGAGCCTAGAAGCAAGCCTGGCTCACCCCAACAAAGCTTCTCTCGTCCCTCCATCCTGGACTGGCCTGATCCCAGCTAACTACAGGGATAGGTGCTTCTGGACTTCAAGCCCCTTTCCCACATCCCCGAGGCCCTTACCGAGGACATAGATCTTGTTCCCATGCAGGAAAGTGGACGCCCCATAGCAGGGTGTCGGCATGGAGGGTAGCGAAAGCCAGCAGTCCCGGCGGGGCTCATATACCCGAACCTGGGCCTGGGGGGCCGTGTCTGGGCCCATCCCCCCAAGAGCATACACCATACCATCTGCATAGAAAAGAATAGTTCAGACTGTACCACGGCCTGGCCAGGGCACCCCACACTGACAGCTGCCCTGGTCAGGCCTTGGGATGGCTGGGGACCTGCCAGGAGTGAGGGCTAGGAGAGCTAGGATTCCTGCTTTGGCCAGGGCCCCTCCAAGTGAAGAGCAAGAGGCAGGTCTAATTATAATCTGTCTCCGTCTCCCTGGAGACGCTATGGCAACCAAGTCTGGCATCCAAGCAGAGCCAGACCTGGTCAGACCTGAGGCCACAAGGTGGGGGCTCCCCTGGGGGAAGGAGAGTGAAAAATGGTTTAAGGCAGTGGTGGAGGGCATATGGGGATCTGCCCAGCATGAAGTTCAGACTGGGGAGGGGCTCTGGGGATCAGCTAGCGGGGAGCTGGTAAAAGGGCTTGGGCCTACAGGATGGGGGTGCTGGCCACAAGCCTTCTGCCCAGGAGCTCTGCCAGCACCTCCGCACCCCGCCTTTTCACTACAGTAGGTTCTTGCCTTGTTACACCCTCAGGGTCAGCTGAGGGCATGTCTAGGGGCCTTGGGGAGATAGGCCAGTCAGCTGGGGGCTTCCATGGCAACTTTTCCCAAGCCAGGGTGGCCTTTGTCCATCTCAGGCTCTCTGGCGTGTGTGTGCATGTGTATGTGTGTATAGGGGGACAATCTAAGCATTTGCCTGGCTCTGAGCCAAGGTCCTGCTCCCTTCCCCTCCCCCAGACTATTTATAGCCATGGGAGTCATTGGACCACCCCTCCTTGCCTCTTAGAGAAGAGGAATAGACGGGGAAGAGAAGTGGCTGGGGCCTCCCATCACGCTGGGGGCCCACCTGAACTCTGCCTCTCATCTCACAGCTAGAAAAGGCAATTAAGGCAGCCGCTAGCTTAGCTCAGAGATAAGTAGGGGAGGGTGCAGGAGGCAAAGCCACGTCCAAGGCATCCAGACAAAATTTACAGCTCTTATCCAATCTCTGAGAGTAAGGGATAAAATCAGAAAAGAATGGAGGGTGTTGGGGCACCTGAGAGACTTTTCTTGGGATGCCACTCACCTCTCTCCACAGTTGCAATGCCCATGGCTGCCTGAGGGAGGGTGGCCCGACGCTCCCAGCGGCCCTCATCAAGCAGGAAGGCCTCCACAGCAGCCACCGGGCTCTGGCCTTCATCCACACCACCCACCACTAACACCTGCTTGTCCAGCACCACAGCAGCTGCGCCAGCCCGGGCGGTGGGCAGGGGCGCCAGTGCCAGCCATGTATGTGAGGCCATGTCCAGTGTCTCGGCAGTATCCAAGGGCATTCCAGCCCGGCCACAGCCCCCCAACACTAGCAGGTGCCCATCCTGGTATGCCACTGTGCCATAAACCCGGCAGGTGGGCATGGGTGGGAACACCTGCCATGCAAAGGCCCGGCTACCTCCTGTAGCCATGGTGTTCACCTCCAGTAGTCGTTCATGCTATCTGCTCAGGCTGCAGCCCTCATTGATGAAAGCCTCATCTTGACTCTACCAGGGCTACAAGGTGGCGTCTGAGCAGTCCAGGGACCTTGCTTTCACCTGGAGGAGAGAGGGGAAATAAGGGGTCGGGCCGCTGGCCAGCCCTCAGGGTACAGATGAGCAGCCTGTAGCTAAGGGCAGGGCTGGCCCAGAATCACCGGTAGGAAGGGCAGGAGGAGGACCCACCCTGGCTGGTTAGCAAACCAATGTGGAGGTCTTCCTAGAGTGGGAAGGAGGGCAGACTCCCAGATACCCAGGCAACTTGCCCCCTTACTATAGGGCATGTGGAATTCTCCTCCCACGCCCTTCCCTCACCGAAGAGCTCCCTGGTCGTATTTAGGTCTAGGTGGCAAATAAGGTAACTAGTAGAGGACCCTCCATCCTAGTCCCCTTCCGTTCCCCTCAACAATCCTCACCCTGGTGCTCTGCTAGAACGGAGTCCTACCGTACCTCCCCCCTTACTGGCTTTCTCTGTGCCCAGGGCAGCCAGCAGGGTCTCTCACCTGCTGCCAGGGATCAGACTCCAGGATAGCCTTACAATCCCTTTGTGAGCCATAGAGTTCATCCATTCTCAACACCAAAAGGCCAATATCAGGGCATTTGGGACCGGGCGAGGAAAGGCTGGAAGCCAGGGTTCCACCCCCCCCACCACCACCCCCAGGTCTACCCTCAGGGGTTTGCCCATGCCAGATCCCCAGAGGCCAGCCTCCTTGGTGTCTAGACTGGGGGAGGAGGAGGATTTGGGGGTCCCATAAGCCCAGGGTCTCGGAGTCCAGGGGGTTTCCAGCAGAAATGGGCAGCTGGACTTCTGGGTCCCCTCGCAGCAAATCCCCAAGTTCCTCAGCCTATCCTTTCCCGAGGGAGCCACACTCCTGGGACCCCTGGAGCGAGGGCCTCCTGGTGCCAAACTTCCAGCTCTCCGGAGGGCAGGGGGGCGGGTCTGGACGAGCGCGCTTAGGGTTCTACACCCCGCGCCCCAAACTTCCCCTGAGCGCAGCTCCCGCGGGACTCACCGGCTGGGGCTCCGGTGCCGCGGGGGCTCGGGGTCCGCCGTTCGGGCTCCGCTGGTGCGGACTCTGGCTGGGGCTGGGGCTGAGGCCGGGCTCCGGCGGGGCTCCGACTCGGCTCTTGCGATGGGCGGGGCTGCACGGGGTCCGCCCCTCGTCCCCCCTCCCGACTCGGGAAAACCTCACTCACACACACACACACACACACACACACACACACACACACACACGCGCCTTAACCCTGCACCTGCCGTGGCTGGAGCAGGGCGCGCCGACCCATGGTCACACACAAACGGGTGAATAGACAAACAGACATGTGGACACTGGGCCTTCCCAGAATTTAGGGTCCAAACTCGGGCGGGGGTTGAAATGAGGCAGCAGTGAGCAGCACAAACGCATAAGGTGGGGGGCGGTTCTGAGCGAGACCCAGTCCAGGAGCATCGGCGGGGGTTCGGGCCAGCAGAACCTGGGAGCTTAAGGGACCGGCGTCCGCCCACCAAGACTGAGCTCTGATGAGCCCAACCACAGGCTTCGCAGTGTGGCCGCGGGAGGCTACTTGGAGCATGTCCTACGCTTCTCCGGTGGGGGCGGCTTCTGGGTAGCTCTTCCCCAGACACAGAGCAGGGCACAGAATATAGGTCCTATGGTGTACAATGAAAGCTAGTAGAGGATGGAGGAACAGACAGCATCGGCCTCAGTACTTGACAGGCCCTTCCACAGGCCTGAGTGGGGGGCGTCCTGGGGGTAGGGTAGCTCTGAGCAGGGGATGAGCTTGAAGAGTCCAAGGTTAGGGGGCCTACCTACCAGGCAGGGCACTCTGGCCTCACATTCTGTAGGGCCTGAAGCCTGGGCTATTCTTGGGCTTAAGTCACTTTGTGACTGGACACTCAGGTCCTGGGCTTGCCTCTAGCCAACTCTGGGATCAGGCAAGAGCAAGCTGGTGGGACAGAGGACTACCCACCTCAGACCCAGACCCTGGCCCATCTTCTGAACATTCAGAGTACTGGCTAAGTCTGCGAGCTGGCGGCTCATTAATACAGGTCAGTGGTCACCTATGAGAAGCAGTCCTGTGGTTGTCTACTTACTACTATCTTGCCCCTCTTCCATGGACAATGTCTGTTTCGCTTCCCCTAGAAGAACATCTGGAGATAAAGATGCAAGTGCATATAGTTATTGTGGGAGGTGAAGCCAGGAAGCACCAGCAGAGGAGTGGCAAGGAGACAGGGGAAGCAGCCAACAAAGGGTGTGTCATCAAGCAAGTTACCACCATGGGCAACTGAGACCAAATCCTGCTGGGGACTCTGGAAGCTCGTGTAGAACATGGGCCTCACATTATTGTTCTCTCCCATAGCAAAGGTTGCTGAGGTCCCATTCTCAGATCTCCATTAGTCCTGGGTTGAGAGCTGCTTAGGGGCATTAGTTGCCTGGCCCACCTGACCTCTGGCCTGCCCAGAGTGTGGGCAGAGCCTTGACTGTGATGAGAAAGAGTCTTTAGCCCCTTTTAGGAGCTGGCAGTTGGAGTTGGAGTGCCTACATGGAAATGGTAATGCCAGGGCCAGTTACAGATCATGGCTAGAGGGCTTCCATCCTTCCACTTCACTCTGCCCCAGACTTACTCCTCACTTAGGGCACTGGTACCTTCCTCCGTGGGGCGTTCACACTGCCCTGCAGACCTCACATTTTCCACTATTCCCTTTCCAGGCCCCTCCCCCTTTCCTTTCCAGCAATTAAGCACTTAAAAGCATCTTATCCTTAGATACTTCCCAGGACCCCAAGTCCCTCCCGTCTCCTCTCCCCCTCCAGTCAAACTCTTGAAGCTATCTGCTTTCACAGTTTTCACTGCCTTGATATTTGCCACCTTATGTCTGCTGCCACTGCTCCCTCAAAATTGTTCTTGCCAAAATCACCATGGCACACCATACAGCTAAAACTAGGGGTTCCCTGTGGTCTTCGTTTCAACTGAAATGTTACTGGCATCTTCAAAGTTCCACCCCTTGTAACTTTGGCTTCCTCCTGCTGCTCTCCTGCTCCCTCAGTCTTTTATAGGCCCTGCTTCCTCTCCCTCCCCAGGATGTGGCTCCTCAAGATCTGGCCTTGGCTTTTCTCCTTGGCACATAGACACCCTCCTAGGGTGGTACCTCCCAGGCCACTGGCCTCACTCACATCTAGATCTCCACCAGATCTCTCTGCTCAGGTGGCTAGGGGTCTAGGGTCCATCACTCAGGGCTATAAAAGAGCAAGGGCTGGATCTTGGGATGACCCTGTGGTCTCTTCCAACCTCATCCTATCTGATCCCAGTTATGCCTATAGGGTCAGCATCCATCAAAGTCCAGGTCAAGTAGACTTCGCTCTGATGAATCTTTCCAGAGATTTCCATCTGGGCCATACCGGACACTAAGAGGCAGAAGGATCAGCCTCTCTTCAGGAAGCTAAGTAGCTCATGACCCTTACCTCTTAACCTCTATCACCACCCCTGGTTCTAACGTCTGGAAGGAACACAGCCCGGGGATGGGGCTTCCCTTCCTGGTCCTCCATTTTGCACTGACCTCTGGGCTGGACATCACCAAAGAGGGATCCCCTTTCTAGGACACACCTAGGTCCATGCCATCCTTGGAGGCTGGGCTCTGCCTCATCATGAAAGTGGCTCCTGTTTACACAGCCCTGACCCCATCTGCACACAGTAGGCCAACACTGCTGGCTTTGGAGAAGCTGTGGAAGACAACTGGGGCAGAAGGTGAGGCTGGATTGGTTCTGAGCGTGAACAGCTAATCCTCAACCACGGATGGAACAGAGACAGGGTTCGCCACAGTTGGAGAGTGGGAGTGCTAAGGTGGAACATCTTGATTGCACCCCCTAAGACTCTGGCCCTTGGGACCCCACCCTGCCCTTCTCTTTACCAGGACGAAAGGCTAGAAGCACTGAAGAGGGACAGGAGAGTTCGCATTTCCTGTTGAACACCTTGGCTACATTTCAAGGCACTGAGGACCCCACCATCAGTGCTGAGGCCCTGGGAAGCTCAGGGGAGGCCTAGGGTACAGTGGATGTTTCTATTTAAAGTTTTCCCAGACTCTTCCACATAGGCAGGGAAATGTCGAGAAGCCTGAGGACCCTGGAGTGAGATGGGAAAGGAGGAGGTCTATTAACCAGCCCCCAAGTGAAGTGTCCAGCAACCCTCCGACTGTCCATAGACTTCCACCTGCCCCCAGCTACTAAATTTGGCACCATTGTGTCAAGAGTCCCAGAGCTGTGGCAGTATTTCTGCCTCCTAGCTCAGGCTATGACCCAAGTGCAAATGCCCCCACCATCTCATCCAGGAAACTAGGGCTCCTTTGCTGCCTCCCAACCTGGATTTGGGAGGCCCTGACCAAGAGAGTCCTTTGGTCAGAGCAGTGGAGACCTTTCTGACCTCTCAGACTCCTAGGATTAGTATTGACCTGGTTCTTTTCACCTGGTGCTGCTTGGGCAGTGGACCCTGTAACCTATACCCTTCTGCTGGCCCCAGGGTATAGGTGGAAAGACTGAAGTCCCAGTCTCCTAGGCGAAAGGACAGGGATTCTGGGCAGAGTTAAGATTGGAGGCCGGGCTTCCTGTCATTGAAGGGGCTGAAGCTGGCCAGGGTCCTCCCACCACACCCATGCACATGTTCCTGGGCAAGTACACTCAGGCCCACACTGGCATGCCGGGACTCTCAGATTGGACATGCCCAGCTTTGGGCTTGCGCAGCACATGTGTGCACACCAGTCTTTCATGACACTTGCAGGGATGGGGGTGGGGTGGGGGGGCTCCATTCACAGGAGGACAGGAGGGCCTACTGCCCTTAGAGGAGGTACAGCTGCTGCAAAACAAAGAGGCACCCCTGTGACACTCCCAGGTAGGAGGCGCTCCTCTTTTACCCTCTGGTCAGGAGCCTGGAACAGAGGCAGACCTTGTCAGTGGATGCAGGAGGCCTAGAGGGTGGAGGGTGGCTTGGATCTTGCTGAGAGTCCCTCCCAGATGTTGCTGCAATACCAGATCATACCAGATCCCTCAGAGAGAGTGCCAGTCATGCCCCTAATCCAGTCCTGGCCAGGCTCCAATGCAGTCCTGCCTAGGGGTGCTTCTGAGTGCACCTCTACTCCTCAGACTCCAGCAGAGGCACGGAGGGGTTTAGAACGGTCGCCTCGGCTACCTCCTCCAGGAAGCCCTCCCTGGTATCCACCTGTCCCGCCCCCAGACTTTGGGGGGGGGGGGAGAAACAGGGTCTCAGGGGTCAAGGGTCACCAGGGCGGGCCAGATCCCGGAAGCGGAAGCGCAGCGCACTTCCGGTGCGCAGCGGGCGGCCATGTTGGAGCAGCGGAGGCGGCGCAGAGGCGCGTCCTGGGTCCCCGTGGCGGCGCCGGTAGGTTGGGGCCGTGGGCCTAGCCGCGCAGTGGAGGGGCTGTCCGCGAGACGGCACGGCAGATAGGCCGGGCGGCCGGCTCTTCGCCGGCCCAGCCGAGACCCCCACCCCACCCCCACCCCGTGCCCAGCGACCCCACCCTGGGGCTGCGCGACCCGTCGGGCTCGCCCCGTGTATCTTGCTGCCTCTGAGACCCCCGCTTCTACTGGCGGCTCGGACCCCAGGGACGCGGACTCCCAGCCTGAGGGCTCTGATCTACCCCCGTCCGGCGTCCGCTTGGATGGCGCCTCTCCCGACCCCCATCTTTCATCAACTTCCCTTGCGGCCCCCTGGGGCACGTATGAAGGGAATTCGGGGGCCGGGCTGCAGCCTGTTTCCGGAGCTTCTTGGAAAGTCCAGAAGACCCCTCCCAAGGGTCCAAACCGATCTGGGCGGAAGAGCACCCAGTTTACCCCTAATATCTTTGCCTGATATCTGAACCCCTCCCTGTTCTACAGTTCACAGCCCTGGGAACTACACCCCCTTGAAAAAATAAAATAAAGGAACTAAAGCCACATGCAAGGATTGTGCTTGGAGAATGGCCTCTGGAGAGGGGAAGTGCTCTAGACACCTGAGGATCCAAGAATGTTTCCAAACAAAGAGCCCCAGGGCACGTCCTCCAGGGGATTCTAAAAACTTTTTCTGCTCCATTAGGGTAGTAGTAAGAAGCTGCACAGACACGCTTCCAGGCCCCAGGGACCTGCCTGATTCCAGCTGATCTTTTAATACTCCCTTGCAGATGGGGAGCTGCCTCTTGGGGGCCCTCACTACTGGGTTGGGCGTTCAGTATTAGTCATGATTGACAGCCCACAGCTTCAGGGAAGCCTGGGCCAACTTGGGTGTTCCTAGACAGCTCCATCTGGGCTGTACCAAGGTCTGCAGCCCTCCAAGCCCTAGTTAAGACAGCTCACGTCTCTACTGTCCACCTTATTAACTGTCTTGCTTGGAGCCTTTGGCTCCCACCGTTAGACCTTGGACTCTTGGTCTGGCTGCCTTGCCCCCAAGCTGCCTAATTGCCTAGAGCAGTGTCATTAGTACTCACTCATCATCTTTAGTTTCTGTTGAAGGAGAATCTGTTTGATCTCCATGACTCTGGTGCTAGGAATTGGACCTCCAAGTTGCCTGTATGGGAACTCTGAAAGCAGAACTTTGGGTGGGCAGGGAGATTCACCCTTGGGCACCTGAAAAGTAGCAGCTGGAGAAACAAAGATGGGTATGGACATTGGGTGTAAGTCTGGACCTTTTGGCCATCACTCAAAGACCATTCAAGGCTCGTGTTGCCCTGCTTTCACCTGTTTTTCTAGCTAGATTCTCCCAGCCCTGACCACAGACTCCAGTTACACCAAGGGTGCCTTATTCTTTCTCACTTGGGAGTCATTGCTTAGGCTGTTCCCCTTTTCCATTTCCATCTGGCCCTTTCCCATCCCCAGCTAGGTCCCAGCTAGGCGTTGCCACTCTCAGGAATCCTCTCCTGATTCATTGGCAAGCTGAGCTGGGTCCATTGTGTACTCCCAGGAACCTTGATGATGTCTGTCTTGCTTTCTGTACAGGGCGCCTTGAGGACAGAGACATTCACCTGTGTTCCCAGGGTTTATTCTAATACTAGACTTCTGCCCTCAGAAAATATATAATTGAATTAAAATGGGCTGGCCAAGCCCAAATCTTTCCAAGGACTCAACAGCAGTTTGGGTGGCTCTGATAAGCTTATGGGATGTATCCTGAAGGTCCTGCCTCTGACCCACATGGGTCCTGTCTCCCCAACCCCCACCCCACCACCATGGTAGATCAGGAGAATAGTGCTTTACTTCAAGGAGTGGCTTGCTCTGGCCAGGCCGCTCTGCGTCAATGGATGTTATCATGGAGAGTGCAAGCCCTGATTGACCTACTCCCTATCTTGATGCCATTCTTACTGACTCTTTTTCCTCTTGCCTTGGAGGTGCCGAGTGCTGGTTTGCAGATACCCAGGCAGATCTGCAGTGCCTAATGCCATGAGCGTGGTGGTGCACCATGTGGAGGAGAAAGCTGTACACTCTTGGTCACGGATCTCCACGGCAGGGAAGAAGGCCCTGGAGGAGGCGCTGCTTGTCTTTAACCCCATGAGCCAGGATCTCAGTGCCACAGAGGCCCAGCTTGTGGCCTTCCTGCAGGGCCTACGGGATGATGGCTTCCAGCCTACCATCCTGCGCAGTGGTGATGTCTACGGCTATAGTTCATGCACAGCCAACCCCCCAAGCCAGACGAAGCTGCAAGCCCGTGCCCCTACCCCAGCTACCACATCACCTCCAGCCAGTGCTCCCCGAACTGCCGTGCGGCTGCCTGCAGGTCGGGCCACGCTGCTCCCCATGGCACTGTCTGGTCGGCTGGCAAAAACGTCCACACCAGCCCTCGCCAAGCATACCACAACCAACCTGCTACTGAGCTCCTTGAAGCAGTCAAGTGCCAGCCGTGCCCGGGGTGCGGCAGTGGGCTTCCCCGCCCACCTGTATCCAGGTGTCTACCCTGCCATGAGGCTCTCTGTTGTCCTTGAGGCCCTGGTTCCACTCAAGACTCCCATGCCCTGCCTAGATGCCAAGCACAAGACACAGTCACTGCAGCTCTCACTTGCGGGCTCACCCCTAAAGTTGCGGAAAGGTCCAAGGAAGGGGCCAAGGAGTCATCAGCCCAAAGCTCCCAGAAAAACCACAAGCAAGGGCCCCAAGTGTCTGATTCGCAGAGGCCCCAGGGCTGGACGCCGACGAAGTACTGGGCCTCAGAGCAAGACCTACAAAGCCAGTAGGTCCGTCAGTAGTCCGCAAGTAAAAGGTATCCCTGCCCTGGGCACCAAAGCAGCCCAGGCCAAGGTGGCTCAAGCACAGGCCAAAGCTGCCAAGGCCCGGGAAAAAGCCAAGGCAGCACGGATCAAGGCCAAGGCAGCACGGGCCAGAGCCAAGGCCAAGGCAGCGCGGGCCAGGGCCAAGGCCAAGGCAGTGCGGGCCAGGGCCAAGGCCAAGGCAGCGCGGGCCAGGGCCAAGGCCAAGGCAGTGCGGGCCAGGGCCAAGGCCAAGGCAGTGCGGGCCAAGGCCAAGGAGGCTCGGACCCAGCACAGGGGCCGGGGCAGGCCAAAAGGATCTGTTCAGGGCAGGACTGCAAGGACGGGCCAGAAAAGCTCCCCTGGAAATGTGGGACAGAAGAGGAAAAGGACTGATGAGGCAAAGGATCTTCCTCCCCAGAAGAGAACACGGCTTGGGTCCCGAGCCCGTAAGGCATGGCTAGGGCCTGGAACAGCAAAACTGCTGAATTTCCAGGCCATCAAGGTGGACAAATGGTCCTCGGACGATGAGGTGCGGCAGCGAGCTCAACGGATCCTCCGTGTGAACCTCTCCCCTGTAATACAGCTCCAGCCGTTGCTGCCATACTCAGTGATTACTTCACATAGTAATGTTTGGGGAAACTGAGCCCAACTGTCTTTGTTGTCAATGGCACAGTGTGCAATGCCCATGGACTTCACAACCCTGAGGACTCTGGGTGCCTCTCCACGGCCCTGGCAGCCACCAGCCTCCTTTCAAAGACGGGAGGACGTGGGGTGAGGTGGGCGGGTGGGAGGGGTGTTCTCATGGCGCAATGCACTGTGACTTGTTACTCTTCAAGTTGTATGTTCACTGTTCCATCTATCACGTTTTATACCTTTCCACCTTCCAGTCTCCCTGCCCATCTTCCATGGTCTTTTGTGTGTGTGTGTGGCTGCAGTAAGCCAGCTTGAGCATATAAGAACAGTGGCCCCAGGAAGAGGGCTGCCAGAGGGTCCTGGTAGCCGGGGGCAGGTCATCAATGTGAGTGATAGGATGGTGTGGGAAGGGGCAGTTTCCAGACTCCTCTGGAATTGCTGGCCTCTGGATGTATGAGAGGCAGCCCCTGAGTGTAGGGACAGAGCCACTCAGAGGTGGGACGCCTCCCCTTGCCCTGGTTTGTTATCCAGATAGGCCCCATGTAGGAGGACAATAGGTGGCTGTGTGGGGAACCTTGCACCCTTAAGGTTTTTAGGCCAGGGAAGGGCGATCTGTACTGCTCCCCAGAGGCTGTGCAGACAGCCTGGCCTTGTCTTCCAGGCTGCTCTCACAAACCTTGAGGGTTTGCCTGGGCTTTTCAGGACCAGAGCCAGGCCTCAAGTGGCTGGCTTACCTCTGCCCCCCCCCCTCCCCTCTGCTCCTTCCAGGAGAGTGACCAGCCTCAGCTTTCCCGATTTGCAGCAAGGGGTTTAAGTTCCAGTCAGAGGCCAAAGCTCTGGGTTGTAGGGCCACGCACGGAGTCTTCCCTGACCATGGAGTTTTCTCCTCGGATGGGTGGGGCACGGTGGTATCTGAGCCAGGTGAGCTTCCAGACTGTCTCGATCAGCAGCAGTGCTTTCTGCCTGGGTTCCTTGAGCTCTCTGTGTTCCCAGGTCCAGCCTTCTCATGCCTCCCAACGGGCCTGTATGTTTCAAGCATTTATCAGCTCTTCCTTCTTTACAGAGGGGGCTGGGCTTTAAGCCCTGAACAAAACTAGCTCCCCGCCCATCTGCCAGTCCATTGCTGGCTGCCCAGCCTGAAAAGCAGTGGCTGGGGCTGGCAGGGATGGGACACATTCCCCAGAGGCTCCTGGAGACGCCTAGCCTTTCAGGGCTAGGGGTGGGAACCTCATTTGAATGAGAATTGGATCTTTTCTGTCTGTGGGTTAGTCTGGACCCTGGCCCCACTAGCCCCAGCTGCTTTGGATGGCGGACCTGCAGAGAAGCTCTGCTTCTGCATGTTTCTTGGTGGCCCTCCCTACCTTTATCTGGTGGCTGTTACTAATATCCTTCCCCTGGGTTCAGCCTCCATTGGGTTTCCCTTGCTGCCAGCTGCGTGGTGGCCCTACAACTCTGCATGCGCCTTGCCTCTGACAGTCCTGCTTTCATCTACCATGTAAGTAAGGGAATGACCTGAAGGCAACACACAGCTCTGTAAGGGCAGCCCAGTGTGGGGCCCACTCTGCATCTTCTCTCTCAGGCTTGATTCCAGCTCCCACCACCCAGGACCCCCAGCTGGGCTAGGCCCCCTCCTTTCAGTCCTGCTGCTACTGCTGCCACCACAAATGGGTGAGAGATTGGCTCTTTCCCGAGAGCCATCCAGAGGAGAAGGAGAGATTTCCAGGGTTCCCTGTGGGGTGGGGTGGTGGGTACCCCTTGGATCTCTACTCAGGCCCTGTCCCTCCCAGTCCAGGCACCTAGAACAATTGCCCAGGAGGTGCCAGACTTGCTTCCCCCTCCTGGCTGCTTAAGCGGCATCTGCTACCCACCCACCGGCAACCTGATTGTTGGCCGTAACCAGAGCCTTCGAACCTCATCGACCTGTGGACTTCAAGGCCCTGAGCCATACTGCATTGTCAGTCATCTACAGGTGGGGAGGAGGGTGACGGCTCTGGACATGGTATCTGAGTTTTCCTGGGACATTCTGCCCTGTGGGAGTTCAGGTCATTGCTGGGCGCTAGAGGGAGAGGCCTATGCTTTGAAGTTTTGGAGTGGGGAGGCTGACCATGTACCTCCTGCCTAATCTATCTCCTTGGGCACTCCCCCAGGACTCCGAGAATTGCTTCTTTTGTGACTCTCGGGGAAAGGGAGGCCATGGCATTGAGAATGTGATCTCCCGGAGTGGTCCTGATGGCAACAAGACCTGGTGGCAAGCAGAGAGTGGTGAGGGTGCTGGTGTCCGTGTGTGCGGGTCTGGGGTCTGAGGTCAGGGCCTGGTCACTGACCAGTTCTTGTGGTTACAGGTGTTGAGAACGTCACCATCCAGCTAGACCTAGAGGGTGCCTTCTACTTTACCCATCTCATCATGACTTTCAAGGTGACCCAGTGCCCCAGCCTAAATGTTTGCTCTGTACCTCCTAACCTGATGGCCACCAGTGATTCTTGCCTGTGGTGACCCAAGGACCCTCTCCTGTCCCCAGACATTCCGCCCAGCAGCTCTGCTTATCGAGCGCTCAGTGGACCATGGCCACTCCTGGCACGTGTACCGATACTTTGCCCACAACTGCTCAGGCCTCTTTCCTGGGATCCCTCCTGCCCCTGGCCACAGTGTTAATGACCTCATCTGCGACCAGCGTTACTCGGACATTGAGCCTTCCACGGAGGGCGAGGTTAGGCCCAGAGGAAGTGGGGTCGGGCCCTGGGGTGAAGCCAGAGGCTCAGGCTTGCTTCTTCCTCTCAGGTAATTTTCAAAGCTCTGGACCCAGCCATTCTGGTGGAGAACCCAAACAACCCCGAGATTCAGGGTAACCATCCCCACAGCCAATCCTGTACTCCCAGGACCGCCAGATTCTGGGGGGAGGTGTCCTGCCGGGGGGTGTGGAGTAGGGTGGTAGGCAAGCCAGCTCAGTTGCCCAGCATTGTTCCCCAGCTCTGCCCCATCATGGTCCTCTACTGTGGTTCCTGCTATGGCCCCAATTTCTGTCCCATCATCGTTCCCCATACCTGTACCCAGTGCATAGGGACTGGCATGAATAGCAGTTTCCACCTCTGCCCCATCACTGAACTCCTTTGTGGGGTCCCATTGTCTCCATCACTGCTCCCATTGTGGTCTCCACACCAGCCCCCAACACTGTCGCTCATGTTTTTGCTCCTGTCACTGTACCTCAACTCTCCCCTTTGTGAGCCTCCGTCGCCGTCCCCATCATTGCCCTCCCACTTGATTCACCTTCCTGGCCTTAGTTAGTGCCCTATATCCCTGCAGCTGCCTCGAAGTGGCGCCGGGGTGTCTCTGGGTGTGGCCTCTTGACCTCTATCAACATAATCCCACAGGGGAGCCCAGAGCCAAGGCCAGGATGATGAATGTCCACAGCAGGAGGACAGACCCCAAACTAGCTTTTTCTCTACATTCTCCACCCACCTTGACTGGTTATTACCAACTGCTCACCCTGAACTCCCACACTAGGTCTCTAAGCAACTGTTGCTTGTTCCTTTGATCAGGAGAAAGGGGAGACCTGACAAAGGAGAGAGACAGGAAGTAGACTTGGCCTGGTAACTGACTTAAGCTGTGGAGCAGAAAGAGGGGCCTGGACCCATCTCTGTCCACTTGTACATTCAACAAGTGCCCATTGAGCCCCACTGTGTGCCAGGCATCTTCTGAGCAGTGCTCAGTGGGGAACAGATAGACAAGGTTCCTGTCTTCTTGGAGCTGACATAAAAGTGAGACAGTTGACAAATAAGCAAACAAGCTAATAATACCTGATGTGGCTTGGATGATACGTCGATTTCTAGTTTGGACGATGAGCCGGGGAATGGAATCCTTGACTGCACTGGGGAAGCAGGTTTCAAATATCTAGAGATGCCAGAGTGGGGTGTCCAGGAAGTAGCAGGATGTGTAGGTCTCAGCTCAGGAGCAACATCAGAGCTGGAGCAGCACAAGAGGCTGTGGTCATTCCAAAAATGGTATGCCCAGGGATCAGGGGTGGGGGAGTCCCACAGCAGGGGTGCCGGAGAAGGTGGCTGCAATGAGCAGAGGGAAAGGGGGAGAGGGGAGGGACCCCCCCTGCCCCCATTCCTTCCCCTCCATCCCAGCCATAGAGGAACGATGACCAGTGCACATGAGGTCTCACAATCTGTGTCTCCAGAGCTCCTGCGTGTGACTAACCTCCGTGTGAACTTCTCCAAACTGCACACACTGGGTGACAGGCCCCCGGGGGGCCTCAAGGGACACCCCTTCTACTATTACGCCCTCTATGAGTTCGTGGCCCAAGGCAGCTGCCTATGCCATGGCCATGCCTCTGAGTGCAGGCCCACTCCTGGGGCACCAGCCAATGTGGAAGGCATGGTGAGCGCTGCGGGAGGGGTATCCCATGGCTGGTGGGGTGGGCAAACTGGGGAACTGGGGCAGACTCGTCTTGCCCTCCTTCCTGCCAGGTGCATGGCCTTTGTGTCTGCCGCCACCACACAGCTGGTACCCACTGTGAGCGCTGCCAAGACCTGTACCAGGACCACCCATGGCACGCAGCAGAGCCTGGGCACCCCCACGCCTGCCAGGGTAGGTGCCCTACTCTGCCAGGCCATACTTGCCATGGGTCAGCCCACTTCATATCCACCTCCCTTGTTCTTCCCCAGAATGTGAGTGCCATGGGCATGCCCGCAGTTGTCACTTTGACATGGCCCTGTACCTGGCATCTGGCAATGTGAGTGGAGGTGTGTGTGACGCATGTCAGCATAACACAGCTGGGCGCCACTGTGAGCTCTGCCAGCCCTTCTTCCACCGAGATCCCTGGGAAGATCCCCGTTCCCTTCACTCCTGCAAACGTGAGCCCTCCAATTCCAACCCTGACCCCGCAGATCCTTCCACTCCACGGTGACCTCTGACCTAACTCTGTCCTCACTCTGACCCCTGATCCAGCCTGTGACTGTGACCCTGTGGGTGCCCTGGAAGGTGGTTTATGTGATGCCCATACAGATGAGATCCGTGGCCTCCTCTCTGGGCAGTGTCGCTGCAAAGGAAACGTCTGGGGCCAGCGCTGTGACTCCTGCCGGCCCAATCACTATGGCCTGAGCCTTACTGAGTCAGAGGGCTGCCAGCGTGAGTGACCCTAAGAGTGGACCCCCACCCCATGTCCTCCTTGCTCTGCCCCCAATCACTGCCCTGATAAACACATGCACCCACCTACCCCTGCAGCAGTCACATTGCACCCTGAGAGCCTTGTGCCTTAGCCTGCAGGTGCAACCCCCGGGGCCGGGTCCCTGGCACTCATGCCTGTGATCCTTCCAGTGGTGCCTGTCATTGCAAACGCTTTGTCTCTGGACGGGACTGCAGCCGTTGTCTGGTAAGCCTTGACCAACCGACCTGATTTGACCTTGCTCTTGGGTACTGAGCTTCTAGAAGCTGACAGGTATAAAGCTATAATCAGTGCGACTGTAAACAGCCTTGCACATGAGGTGGTGCCACTTCTTGACCTGGTCAACTGGGTCAGTGGCACCTTGGCTAGCTGAACCAGCATATACCCTCAGGTGGGAGCTTTGGAAAAAGAAGGAAACGCAATTAAACGAGATCCAGCAATATTACACTCTGGGTTGAAAGGCGTTTCACAGCAAACGTGTTTGAAGGAGGACTTAGTCCAAGGAACAACTCCATGCCCGTCTTGCCTTTCCTCAAACATTACAAATCCCTTGTTTAACTTCTGTTTTAACCCTGGCAGTGTCCTCCTCTTCTTGCCTCTCCCCTCCCCTCCATGAAGCCATGCAGGCGTACACCTGGGTCTCCTCTCCCCCTCTCAGCCTCAGGCAGAGGAGCATTCAAACCCTGTACTCAGCCCCCTTCCTCCTGCAACAGGCAGTCCCAGTATATGACCTCCCAGGCCCCTGACCCGTCTCTCCCTGTCCAGATCTTCCTGTCCTTCACCCACCTACTCTCTCTTACAGCCCGAGTTCTGGGGTCTGAGCAGTGACCCTCTAGGCTGCCGGCCCTGTGACTGTGACTTTGGGGGTGCCTACAGCAACAGGTACAAGGCAGGGCCTGGGGGGTAGGTCAAGTGACAAAAATTGGGTGTTGATTCTGTCCCCTCCCTGTTCCCATGCTCACTCAGGTGTTCTACAGGGGAGGGCCTGTGTCTGTGCCGCCCCCATCTCCATGGCCGCCGCTGCCATGAACTCCAATCTGGGCACTTCTGTGCCGCCCTTGACCAGGCCACTGCTGAAGCCGAGTTTGGCCAGGGCCTCCAGCCAGCTGATTCCCAGCTGCCTGTAAGTGTCCAGGACAGGCAGGGGCAGGAGGAAATCAAGGCTCAGACCTTGGCACTCAGATGAAGGAGGGAGTGTCCAAAGACAGCTAGTTGGAAGAAGAGTCTGGGCAGGGTTAGAAGGTGAGGAAGTCCAGGTGGGGGTGTCAGCGTGGTCAGAGGTTTGGTGTCTTGGGCGGAGCCCATATTCCCAGGACAGTGTAGGAGAGGACAGAGCCAGAATGATATCCCACTTGCCCCCAGGGTGGCCCCTGGCCTGCTCCTCCCAACTGTACACAAGCCCCATGGACCTCCCCTGGTTGGCTCCGGCCCCGACTTCGGAGACAGCGTGACCCTCGATGTGCCCTCCACCCTGCTAGACGGGCCCATTACAGCCACCAGTTGCCCAAGGTGAGGAGTCTCAGGAGTGGGATGGAGTGACCAGTCCCTAGGGTCTTAGGAGGGACTGGGCCTAAACCCTGGGGATCTTGAGGGAAGGGAACCTAAGTCTTGAGGGTCCTAGTTCCTGGAGTGGTCTGAGCCTGGGAGTCTGTGTCTCACATCCAGGCCCCAGGAGAGCCTGTGCCCGTGCATCCGGGAGCTGGCTCTGCACTGTGGACTGGCTTGGACTTTGCACGTGTGGCTGATGGAGCTGGCCTCTCTCTGCTGGCTCCCACCGTGCCTCGTGCCCTGGAGTATGACATCGTCCTGCGCTATGAGACCCAGGTCAGTGGCATGAGTGCCAGGCAGGTGGATGGGTGGTACTGGGTGGTGAGTAGGGATATTTCTATGACTACTGATCCCTTACCCTAGGCACCTGAAGACTGGCAGGCATTAGTCAGGGTCCGTGCCCAATCACTGCCCAGCAGCGCCCGCTGTGCCCATCTGCTGCCCTCAGAGCAGCTGTTCCAGGCGGCCTTGACCCATGCACACAGGTAGGCAGGACCCTGTGACTCCCAGTACCAAGACCCTGTTCTGCCAACGCATTTGAAACAACCCCCAGATGAAGTGGAAAATGCCCAGTATGGAATATCCTCATATCAGAACAATTGAAACAGGGACTTAATTTAAAACAGCAGGATTTAAGAAACTGGTCATTTTCTATTGCTTACATGGTGAAATGTTGGACCCAATAACTGCATAACGGAAATGGGGCACCCTGGGACCACATGATTATGACCTCCTTACCCCACCCTTGCTTCTCTCCGCTTCTCCCTGCAGAGCTGTCGTTCTACCCAGACCTTTCTGCTTTGAACCGGGAACACGCTACTCCATGACCCTGCGGCTGTGGCGGACCAAAGGGGTGCGGAGGCCTGAGGGGGGCACCATCCTTCTGGATTCGGTGAGATCCTAGGGGCTCCCCCCCACACATTTGGGGTAGAACAAATCACAGCAGAACAATATGGGCTGGGGGACGGGGGTCTCAGAGGTCTGGAGTTGCACCAAGAAGACTGAGACATGGCGGAGAGGGACCCAGACGAGAAAAACACATGCCGGGGAGAAGATGAGAATAGACAGGTGCCAGGCCTCACAGGACTCTGTGGGCCAAGAGAGGGGCTTAATCTTTCTCCTGGGGCAGTGGGGAGCCATGGAAGGGACTTGAGCAGGGAAGAGACATGGGGAAAATGGATTGTTAGGAGAAGGCTGCTGCTATGAGACAGGTGGCTTGGCCTGGACTAGATTGGGCCATTGGAGAGGAAGGAGAAACAGACTCAAAAGAGAAACAAGAAAGGGGCCAGAAGGAGTTGTGAGGGCCAATGCAAATGAGAGTAATAGGTGTTTGTGAGCAGGGCTGGGCTCGTTGCCCCCTGCCTGCCACCCTCCACCCTCCTACCAGATTGTGCTCCTGCCACGGGTAAAGGAGTTGCCTGGGCTGAGATCCGTGGACCCTGGGGCCACAGGGCGCTTGCAGGAGCTCCACAAAGCGGGCTGCATGGAGGCAGCGAGGACGGGCCTCTACAGCACCATGACTGAGACCTGTACCCGCCTTGTCTGCAGCATCTCAGCTCTGCTCCATGGGGGTGGCCTCCGTGAGTGTGTGCCCCTGGCTTGAGGGGGCTGCAGGATAGGGGTTACAGCAGGCACCATGAGGTTCATCTGATCATGCCCTTTTTCCTACCAGCATGTGAGTGCCACCCCCAAGGTTCACTGAGCACCGAGTGTGCCCTTCTGGGTGGGAAGTGCCCCTGCCGTCCTAACATCATTGGTCGTACCTGTGACCACTGCATGCCTGGAACATATGGCTTCGGTCCCACTGGCTGCAATGGTGAGCCTTCAGGGTCAGTGGGTGTGCGTGTGGGGTCTGGGCCCAGCCATCTTTCTCTGCATGGCTTAATCACCCTGTCATTCCCCACAGAGTGCCACTGCCATTCCGAGGGTGCCACCAGTGCCATCTGTAACCCTATGAGCGGGCAGTGTACATGCCGGGCAGGCCTTGCTGGTCGCCGCTGTGATCGCTGCCTCCCTGGCCGATGGGACTTCCCACACTGCCAGCCCTGTGCCTGTAATGGGCATGCTGAGTTGTGCCACCCACTTACAGGTGTCTGCCAGGCCTGCCATGGAGCCACAACAGGCCGGCACTGTGAGAGGTGAGTATCGCCACTGGAAGGGTTGGGTGGGAATTAGAATGAGTGGGCCAGGTCCCATTCCATATGCTACTGCCCCCAGGTGTTTGGACGGCTACTATGGAGACCCCACCCTGGGCTCAGGCCAGCAGTGCCGGCCCTGCCTCTGTCCTGGTCACCCTGGCTCTGGCTTCTATCACGGGACTTCCTGCCATGTGGACAGTGCAAGTGGACGTGTCCTGTGCCTCTGTGCACCTGGCTATGCAGGTGAGGCATGGTTGGCAGTGGCAAACCCATGGACATGCTCTCTTGTTCATAATCCCGTTGGGTCTACGAGGCAAATCTTTGCCAGTGCCATCTGTATGTTGAGCTGCAGGCGGGCTGGGCACCACCTCTCCTCAAGGGATTCCCATTTGGGGGAGGGAGGGTCAAATGTGAGGAATTACAGGCATGGAATTTGGAAGCCAGGAAGATGGGCCATAACTTAGCTATTGTGTCCTCTGCTCTCCTGGCTAAACCTTGGACTTTCTGGCTGTGTTTAAGGGACCCCTTGTCCCCAAAGTTACGGAAAGACACCTGAGACAATCCACACATACCCCAATCCTCTCCAGGCCCCCGCTGTGATCGCTGCTCCTCTGGCTACTTTGGGCGCCCTTGGCCAGGAGGAGACCCCAGAAGAAGTCCATGCCGGCCCTGCCAATGCAACAACAATATTGATCCCCATGATCCTGCTGCCTGCGACCCCCACAGCGGGCACTGCCAGCGCTGTCTGCACCACAGCCATGGCCCAGGCTGTGCCCACTGCAGGCCTGGCTTCCATGGCAGTGCCCTGCGCCCAGGAGGCTGCCGGCGTGAGTGTGTGGGTGGGGTGGGTGGGGACATCCCAAGTGGGTGGGTAGGTTCTCTTTCCTCTGTTGCCGCGAAGCCCTTCCTATTCCTAGGCTGCAGCTGTGACCCCCGGGGCACTGTTCCTGCGAGGTGCCCATCCGGGGCTGAAGCCTGCTTCTGCAACCAGGTCAGCGGGCAGTGCCCGTGCCGCCCCCACACACTAGGGCGGGACTGTAGCCGCTGTGCCCCCCTCTTCTGGAACCTGGGGGGTCCCCGGGGCTGCGAGCCCTGCAGCTGCCATGCCCAACACAGTTTGCAGCTGGTGTGTCACCTGGTAAGTGAGCCCATGTTGCACATTGCACGTGGTAGTGGCCAGGTATGAGTGAATGGGCGTGTGCCTATAACAGGGTGTAACTTATGGCTGGTGTGAGTGTTCATGTGACCACCAGCACTGGTGTTATGTGTGGCTGCAAACAGCCCTGTAAATCTCTGCTCTTGGGTGATATTAACTATGAGCTAGTGGCGGGGAGAGCAGACAGGAGCCAGCATGTGCCATGCATTAGTGTGTAGGTGAACCACCGTGGGTGGGTAATGGCCAGTAGAATGGACATGGCGGTGGGGGCTGCAGGGGGCTAGGAAGGAGGCTGAGGAGACACAGGTAGAAGGTTAGGATGGAGAGCTGGTACAGGAAAGATGGATGGCCATGGAAAACAAATGTTTCCAGGAGAATGGTTGACCACAGAATGAGATGAGGCCTGAAGTGTTTTTGCGTCCTTGGTGAGGAGAGGGGGAGAGTCGGGATGAAGGAGGCATATGGGTAAGTGTATGGAGACAAAGGGGTGTTCTAGAGGCGCAAAGGGCAGCAGGTCAGAAGTTGAGAACCCAAAGGGTCTATGGGAGGTGAGGCTGGCAAAGTGGGGAGGTGGGGGCTAGCCAAGGGGGTCAGGCCAAAGGAAGCAGGAAGGGAGACGCCCTCAGCCAAGTGCAGGTGTGGGTGTGCCTGTAGCTGGAGCAGGGCTCTGAGGACAGGACGGTGTGCTTGGGCGTGTGTGTGCTGCCTCTGAGCACTCATGTCTTCTCCATCTCCCAGAGGAGCCTTTTTGTTCCTGCTGACGGGCCTGCATGCTTTTCCCTCAGGTCACGGGTCAGTGCCCCTGCCAGGCAGGATTTGGGGGCCGCACGTGCTCTCGGTGTCAGGATGGGTACTGGGGTGACCCGGAGCAGGAGTGCAGAGGTGAGGGGGCGCGCACGTGAACCACCACCATGGGTGAGGCTGCCCTGAAGGGGCCACTGGGTGTGGAGTAGCAGGGGAGCGTGGGGTTCTCCTGAGGGAGACCACAGCATGCTGATCACTGTTTGCTCCAAAACTTCAAGAAAGACTTGTGAAAACAGCTGAAGGGAAACAGTGTTGGCAAAACCAGGTGGGGTATGCTTGCAGAGGACACATTGGTGGCTTTTTCCTGACCCTGCCTCTCAGCCCTTGACCCTAGTTGACCCCTGACTGGACTTAGAGCCTCTGCATCCCTGTGCTGTTTTTCTGCCCAAAGGCTGCCATGCACTATGGCCTCTCTGGCCAGGGTAGATGCCAGGGCACACGGCAGATCTGAGCAGTGGTTTAGGCGAGGGTGAGTGCTGCCTTCTCCTTGCCCTGACCCTGTCTCTCCCCCACAGCCTGTGCCTGCGACCCACAGGGCTCCATCTCGCCCAGCTGTGACCCATACACAGGTGCCTGCTTCTGTAGAGAGGGCATCTCAGGGCCGAGGTGCCAGGCATGTGCCCGTGGCTCCAGAGGTGGCTTCCCACACTGCACGTCCTGCCCTACCTGTTTCACCTCCTGGGACCATCGCCTGGCTCTGCTCCAGCTGCAGGTGGAAGCCGTGGCCCAAGCGGTGGCCGCCCTATGCCAGGGGATGCCTGGCTGGGGTGCTAGGGGCCAAGGCAGACACCTGCAGGCCCTGGAGGGGGTACTCCAGCAGGCACAGACGCTCCTGGGATCTCCTTCACCCACTGTGGGAACCCTGCAGCAACTTACAGAGTGGATAGCTGGATTCAGGCAAGGGGCCTGGTGTCTGTAGGGAGGAGGTCTCTAGCTAGCTTCTCAGAATCAGGGATTCAGAGGGTCACAGGTTGGCCTGTCCGAGTCCTGGGTCTGGAAGTCAGGTGGGTTTTCTTGAGTGAGAAATCATGGAGGAGAGGACATCTCTAGCCATGCTGATGCTCCTTCTTCCTACAGGAGGGAAATGACTACTCTGGCGCAGACACTGTGGGCCACAGGACAGGTTGTGGCAGAAACAGAGCTGTGGGTTAGGGGGCAATGTGAACGTCTGGAAGAATTATCCCGGGAGCTAGACTGTGTGAAGGGCTTGGCCTGGCCCAAGAGGGTCACCAGAGTCCAAGGTGAGGCCATATGGGCATGTGGGTGGGCAGCGGGAGAGAACAAGGGCTATGCTGGGTCAGGAGGAGGGGACCAGGCACCCTTGCTTACATATCTGGGGGACCCAGGAGGTTGATTGGCCCTGCCCCAGCCAGTGGAGCCCTAAGCCACCCCTCTGTCCATCCCTCTCATCTTCTGCAGATGCTGAGGCCCAGATCTCTTCAGCTTCCCTGCTTTCCCAAGAGGCCATGCTTGGAGCCCAGATGGTGGCCACACTTGGAGAACCAGACAGCATCCTGGGACAGGCCCGAGAGGCCCGACGGCGGACGGAGCAGCTGCTACGGGAGACAGCCCAGCCTATAGGGACAGCTATGTGGGAGTTGAAACTGAAGGGACTGGTCGACAGGGTCCAGATGCTGCGCCCACAGCTTCTGGGACTCCTAGTCAAAGCTGGAGTGGTGGGTGGAGATATGGATCACTGTGGGGAGCTTTGCCAAGGCGAGGCCTCTCTCCTAGGAGTAACCTGGGTGTAGGGCAACAGGCAAAAGGGAATCTGAGATGTGCATTCTGGATCCCCTATCTCGTTTGCAGGAATGCAGGGGTCAGGGATCTGGGCTGGCCTGTGTTCCTCTACCCTGTGGTATTCCCTCTTGCCCTGGGACCCTGCCCATTGCCCAGTGGGCTCTGGTTGCCTCCAGTAACTCCTCCTATAGCCTGGACATAGCAATCACAGCCTTGGAGCAGCATCAACAACTGGTACAAAGCCATGGGGGCCACAGATGGGAGCTATGGGGGGGCGGTCACAGGGGACCATGGCTTGGCCATGGGGTTGCAGGAGACACATCCCACATCTGAGCCATCCCTACCAGCTGCAGCAAATCCAGGCCACAGCAAGCTCCACGGGAATCCAGGCTCAGGAGATGTGGCATCGTGCAAGGGGGCCCTGGGGTGTGGCCACCACGGTCCCTGTGCAGGCAACTGTGCATATCATCCAGCGTTTCCTCTTGGGTACATTTCTGCTTGTTGTGTGTCTGTTCACAGCTGAGGGTAGGGGCAGGCAGGTATCCAGGTCACTGCTATGACACTCCTTCCAGAATAAGGACTACACAGGAGGGCTGACCAGGGGTCAGGTGGGAGCATTAGTGCACTGGTAAATGTTTAAAAACTGTCTGGGGGTCAGAGGAGGAACTGATTAGTGTTTGTCAGTTTCCATAATGTAAGTAATCACACCATGGCCAATTAGTCTATCTACCATTTAACATCTGGTTCACAGAACTCCTGAAAATGTAACAATTGTCTCTTGTAAGCCTCCAGCACACCATGTAGTCATGTCAGAGGCAGGGTCAGTGAGAAAGAAGTTAGGGTCAGGGTCTGTTGGGTCAGGGATCAGAATTCACATCCAAGACCCCTACCCTCATCCCCACAGATGAAGGTGCAGATGCTAAGAGTGTGGAGCTGGTGGCATGGCGTGTGCTGGCAGTGCCCCTCCCTCAGGGTGGGGCAGCAGGCATTGCCCTTCTGCTGGATCAGATCCAGGGCACCCTCCTTGCACAAGATGCCGGAGGCCAGGAGCTTCCCAGAGCTGAAGGTGTTCTCCGTCAGGCACAGCAGACCAGGTGAAGGGCCAGATGGTGGAGGTAGAAGTCAGAGGGTGGGGAGGAAAGGGATGCCTGCCTGATCATCTGCACCCTTCAGGGAGAGTACCGCCAGGACCCAGGGCCAAGCGCTGGATGTTCAGGGTGTGCTGGCTAAGGCGGGAACTCATGCAAGAGCTGCAGAGCAAGGGCTGCAGGTGGTGAAACAGACACTCGGAGGCCTGGAGGCCAGTGTACAGGAGGTGATACCCCACCGTACCCCTCAGCTCCCTTGTACCTCTTGTTCAGTGGCTGCTGTGGCCCCATTCTCCCTTTGAGGTCCTTGACCCACTGTGATCCCATGATGCTACTAAATACCCTGACCATGTGAACATTCTACTTAGTTGCTGCCCTGCCGTGACCTCCGTGTGATCCCCTGACCTTTGCCTCAGGTGGCAGGGCACCTAGCCCGGATGACACTGGCAGTGGATGTGACCCCGACCCTGGGGCTTCAGTCCAGGGCAGCTGTAGCTCTCAGGACTCGTTTGGCATTGAGTCAGCGGCAGGCCCAGGAGGCAGAGGAGCGTGCAGCATATGCCATGGGCTTGGCTGGGGGCCTGGGCAAGGTGAGGTTGGAACAGTAGATATCGGGGTCGCAGGGACCCCTCTGGAACAGGGTGAAATGGAGTTAAGGTGGGGACTGGGCTATACTGGGCTGAGGCGGGGTCTCAGTTTCAAGACCCCCTGCCCCCCAGGAACCTTAGTCAACAATGTGTTTGGGATAGCAGGGTCTAGGTGGGGTGGGGTTTCAGGTCCAGTCCTGCTCTAGGAGTTGCAGGTGGCCCGGTTAGGTGTGGCGGAGTTGCAGGAGGGCACGTACAGCCTGATGGCTATGGTGCAGGATGCTGAAAAGAGGGTACAGCGAACACGAGCTGAGGCCCAAGAACTTCTGAAGCGAGTGCAGAACAGCTGGAGCCGCCTGGAGGGTGTGTAGCTGGGCCTTGGTCGGGTGGGGACTGGGTGGGGCAGGGTCACAACAGGGATGGTGTGGGAGGGTCAGGGCTGGGTCCAGGCCAGGTCCAGAGTCACATAGGGAACAGGGCTGGGGTCAAAGTTCAGAACAGGAGGTCCAATGTATATTAGGGTTAGAGCTCTTTTAGGGATGGGGTCAGAGTCAGGGTCATGACAGAGATGAGGACCAAGGTCAGAGGTCAGAGCCTGGCTCAGATGACTAATCTCCAGGGTTGGAGCGCCGCCTGGTGCAGAACCAGCAGGCACTGGGCAAGAAGGTGGCCGTCCTGTGGGCCCTGGAGCAGCGGGCAGCAGAGCTGCTCGAGCACATGCAGCTGTGGGCCATCGCGTATGCAACCTGCTGATGCTGTCTATGGATGCCAAAAAGAGGGGCCCTGGGACTACCTGGGTGACTCAAAGTGACCCCAGAGTGACCCAAGAATCTCCTGACCTTGAGAGACCACAGACCCCATTGAGTGCTTGCTTACCCTGAGTGACCCCCATGTTACCCCACGATGTCCTTCAGTGGCCCTCTGACCTTAAGAAACCAGAGAGATCATGTAAAACTCTCTGAGGCCATCTAGTGACCCTGACCCTGATAGTTCCTTATCTCTGAGTGATGTAAAATTCTGAGTCACCTGTAGTATCCCTGAGCCCCCCAGGTTGACCACATGACCCCCAGGGTGACTGGGGACCCCTACTCCAGAAAATCAGTAACTCTCAAAGACCCTGAAAGTCCAGCGGATTGACTGACCCCCTACCCAGACTCTCCTTGTGAAGCCAGGTGACTCGTCCCCTGAAGAACCCCAGCTTTCTCCCCTGAGTCCACAGCTCTGGGTACTCTGCACCCAGCCCCACAGAGCCAGCCTGACCTGGCCCTACACAGAGCCTCGGAGTACTAGGTCCTAGCCGCCCTCCCAGGGGCCTGGGTGGGGCAGGCGATCGCCGGCAGCCCGCATTCCAAGCCCGGGCTTCAGAGCTCCCGGCAGGCCAGAAGGTCCGGAGCGGATAACTAGCTATGAGATCTGGATCCACTCACTGCTTCTCTGTAGGTCTGTTGTCGGCAGCGCAGCACCCATTTTCTTACCGGGAGACTGAGACTGCCCTTCTCGTGCTTACTTACTGTAGTGACTGAGGGAGGCGGAGACCCCTGGAGCCATGCCTCGGGCAGGGGATGGCCTTTCTCCATCTTTCTTCCTACCCCCATTTTCCCTGTCCCTTGGGTAGGGTGTCCTAAAGCTTCCCAAATTCCGGAATAGAGGTGCTTGATGCCCCCGCGTAGGCCCTCCCACTCCCCGCTGATGCTGGAGTCCTGGGACTGAATGCTTAGTTGCTGATGAATGCCACAGCACCCATGACCCTGGGGACAAAGGTTAGCTTCCATGGGCTGTTGGACGTCTCAAAGATCAACTTTGCTCATGCCATGGCGCCCCCACTTGGTTTGCCTCCTAACTTGTGGCCTAAAGCCCCAAACCCCTACCTTCTCCTTGTTCTGCAGAGGTCTGGGCATGGGGGCCCAATAAAGATTTGTAGGTGAGCTGGTCTGGGTCTGGTTTCTAGAGTGAGGGTCGTTTTCGGAGGCGGAGGGGGACCGCGCTACACGATGTTGCACTCCTGCCCGTGATCCACTCCACGCTTTCCTTCCTGCCATGCTTCCCAACTTTGCTCAAAGTCGCCAGACTACCAGCAAGTGGAGGGACCGCCAGACCGACACTGGACTAAGTGGGGACGCAACCAAGGACCCTCACGGGCAGGGTCAGCATGGGACCTCAAGTGAGGGGGTGGGTGGGCATGGGCCCCAGACCTCTCATCCTTCCTCATCCTGATTCCCTTCCTCTTTAGGATGGAGTGGGCCACAGGGGAACAAGGGAGGGACCCGCGGGGACAGTCTGGGCCCTGGGAGCTTCGAGTGGGCCTGCTGCTGAGCGGTGAGAGGGCCTGGTGAAGGTCTGGGGGTCTTGGGATGTGATGGTGAGCCCTGGGATAGCCGGCTACTGGGGCTACAGGGTGCTGGGGGTGGGAGCATAGCAGAACCTGCTGATCCACTGTTCCCAGTGCTGGCCACCGCACTGGCGCAGGCTCAGGTCCCTGATGTGCCGGGCTGTTCTCGGGGAAGCTGCTACCCCGCCACCGGTGATCTGCTGGTGGGTCGCGCTGACAAACTGACTGCCTCATCCACCTGTGGCTTGCATGGCCCCCAGCCCTACTGCATCGTTAGTCACCTGCAGGTGCGTCTGGGAGTGGGTGGGGGGCTGAGTCAGTGTGGGACTGGTACTGGCTGAGGCCCTGACCCTGACCATGACCCAACCCAGGATGAGAAGAAGTGCTTCCTGTGTGACTCCAGGCACCCCTTCTCTGCTAGAGACAACCCAAACAGCCATCGCATCCAGAATGTAGTTACCAGCTTTGCACCACAGCGCCGGACAGCCTGGTGGCAGTCAGAGAATGGTGAGGCCATGTGTGGGGCGTGGGGTGAGCAGGGCTGCCCACCAGTATCCTCAAGTCCCTGACCTCCAACTCCTGCCCCAGGTGTCCCTGTGGTCACCATCCAGCTGGACTTGGAGGCTGAGTTCCATTTCACGCACCTCATTATGACCTTCAAGGTGCCGGCATGTCTGGGAGCCTGCTTGAATCCTCCTGCTAGGCTCCCCATTGCCCCTGAATAGAGTCCCAGCTCCTTAGCCCAGTCCCGCTGAGCTCATAGGCTGTGCGTGGGAGGCTCCTTCATCTCCCACACCTTCTATTGCCTTTTGCCTCGAGACCTTTTCACATGCTACCCCAATCCCAGGCTGGGTTAAGTGCTGCCTCCCTGGATCTCATGACCCCTGAGCCTCCCCACTAGAGGTGGCTACCCTTCCTGATCATTGCTTGGCTTCCACTGGTCACCCCCATCTGTCTGTGAGCTGCTTGAGGGCAGGTCCCAGCTGAGCAGGGCTTTCGATGGGCCTCAGCTGGGCTTGGGTCCTGGTGCCGCTGATCAGCCATGCTCCCCACCCAGACATTTCGTCCTGCTGCCATGCTGGTGGAGCGCTCAGCAGACTTTGGACGCACCTGGCATGTATACCGATATTTCTCCTATGACTGTGGGGCTGATTTCCCAGGAGTCCCACTGGCCCCCCCACGGCACTGGGATGATGTAGTCTGTGAGTCCCGTTACTCAGAGATCGAGCCATCCACTGAAGGCGAGGTGAGGGCTGGGATCTGGACTTGGTGCAGGAAAGGGGGATTGATGGCCCTAAGGCAGGGTCTGGTGTCTCTAATGACTCCACGCTCCTCTAGGTCATCTATCGTGTGCTGGACCCTGCCATCCCTATCCCAGACCCCTATAGCCCACGGATCCAGAGTGAGTATTCCACCCTTTATGTTGGCGTAGTCCCAGTGTCCGGCTGGTGACTATTTGGGGCCTCGGTAGCTATTTTGGGTGCTTCCTAGGGCAGGTGCCAAGTCCAATTTAGCTCATATAGCAGTAGACAGGAGGTCTTCCAAGGTGACCTTGGCAGCTGCAGACCCTGGGTGGGTATGGGGCAACAAGAGCCTGCCTGGCCAACTGGCCTCCAACACTTTCCCCCCACTTAGACCTGCTGAAGATCACTAATCTACGGGTGAACTTGACACGGCTACACACGCTGGGGGACAACCTGCTTGACCCACGGCGGGAAATCCGCGAGAAGTACTATTATGCCCTCTACGAGTTGGTTGTGCGTGGCAACTGCTTCTGCTATGGACACGCCTCACAGTGTGCACCCGCCCCAGGAGCACCAGCCCATGCTGAGGGCATGGTGAGGGGCTTCAGCTGGCTGGAGTAGGGCTGGGGGTAGGAGCAGGCATGGCTGGACAGTGCTGACCATGTGCCTGCCTACCCTTCTAGGTTCATGGGGCATGCATGTGCAAACACAACACTCGTGGCCTCAATTGTGAGCAGTGTCAGGATTTCCATCATGATCTGCCCTGGCATCCAGCCGAGGATGGCCACAGTCATGCCTGCAGGAGTGAGTGAGACCCTGGTCCCCATAGCCCCAGAATTCTGTGGCCTGGTTGTGCCCTAGGTAGACCCTAGAGCTGGCTGGTCAGGCCTCTAACATCTAGGCTGTGTCTGAAGGGTATCCAGGCCTTGATGCCCCTGGGCTCCCTCAACGCTCCTCCACAATCTGCCCGGGGAGGGACCCAATGTGGTGCTGAAGCCATAAAGCCCATGAGCCCCCACCCCAAATCCTGGCTTATGGCAGCGACCTAAGGTGGCAATGGGGCCCCCTACGCCACTTACCCTTGGGATATGGTCCTTCAAGAGGCCTTTGCCCTGCCCTTCCCTCCCCTCCCCAAGAGTGTGAGTGCCATGGGCACGCCCATAGCTGCCACTTCGACATGGCCATATACCTGGCATCTGGCAACATGAGTGGAGGTGTGTGTGATGGATGTCAGCACAACACAGCTGGGCGCCACTGTGAGGTCTGCCGACCCTTCTTCTACCGTGACCCAACCAAGGACCTGCGGGACCCAGCCGTGTGCCGCGGTGAGGCTGGGATTGGGCACTGGGGTAAACCTGGGGTAGGAGTTGGAGAACCAGACTGCTGTCCAGGTTGTAGAGATTTGGGGTAGGGAGCATAGGGTGGAGTCAGACTGGGAATCCGGGGGAGGGGAGGACTTGGGAGATGACTGGTGCTGGACTAGTTGAGATATGGTGACCTTGTACCTCTTCTTGCCCTCAGCCTGTGATTGTGACCCCATGGGTTCCCAAGATGGTGGTCGATGTGATCCCCATGATGATCCTGCACTGGGCTTGGTTTCAGGCCAATGTCGCTGCAAAGAACATGTGGTGGGCTCTCGCTGCCAGCTATGCCGTGATGGCTACTTTGGGCTCAGTGCAAGTGATCCTGTAGGCTGCCAGCGTATGTGTTTCCCGCCCTAACTTCTGTGCTGACCTTAACCCTTGACTTCTTACTCTTGACCCCACTGAACGCAAGCACTGCCACAGCTCCCCAAAATGCTGATGGATCTCCTTCCCCTCCAGGGTGTCAGTGTGACGCACGGGGCACAGTTCCTGGGGGCACTCCTTGTGACCCCAACAGTGGAACCTGTTTCTGCAAGCGTCTAGTGACTGGACGTGGCTGCAACCGCTGCCTGGTGCGACTGGAGAAGGCTGGGGTTATGGGGCCCAGCACTTATCCTCAGAGCACAGGGCAAAGGGGTAGTGTCCATGCACCACGGGGTGGGTGCTGAGAGCTTAAGGTTCAGTCCTGGCTGGGAGGCCCCAAGACTGGGAGCCACTTTTCACCAAGGGGTGGTAGAGGCTAAGAGAACATCATTGAATTCCCTGCTGGGTGGCAAGGGGGTCTGTTTCTGGCTCCCAGTAACCTCTTCTCCCACAGCCTGGCCACTGGGGCCTGAGCCATGACCTGCTCGGCTGCCGTCTGTGTGATTGTGATGTGGGTGGCGCCTTGAATCCCCAGTGAGTGCTATATAAGGGACTCGGGGAGGAGTGGGAGAAGATCCTGGGCAGGATAAGGGTTCCTTCTTGAGTAACTGTGCTCTCCCCAGATGCGATGAGGCCACGGGACAGTGCCGCTGCCGCCAGCACATGGTGGGGCGACGCTGTGAGCAGGTACAGCCTGGCTACTACCGGCCCTTCCTTGACCACCTAATGTGGGAAGCTGAGGACACCCGAGGTCAGGTAGGGGGGCAGTGTTGGAGGGCAGGTCATGGGTGTGACTATAGCTGGAAAGGCCGGGTTATGGGCAGTGCCTTGTGTGGGGAGGGTGTATGGCTTTGGGCAGGGCCTCAGCTGAACAGCTGGGGTTTGGGGACAGGCTGTGGCAAAAGAGGTGGTACCTCGCCTGAATCCCCTCCCATAGCCACATCTCCTCCCAGGTGCTTGATGTGGTGGAACGCGTGGCGACCCCCGGGGGAACTCCATCCTGGACAGGCCGGGGCCTCGTTAGGCTGCGGGAAGGCCAGGCACTGGAATTCCTGGTGGCCTCTGTACCAAGAGCTATGGATTACGACCTGCTGCTGCGCTTGGAGCCCCAGGTCAGACCCTGTGACACCTAACGCAGAGCTGAACCTCTGGGTGTGGGAGCATCTCCTCCATCATCTGATTCCCCCAGGTCCCTGAGCAATGGGCAGAGATAGAACTGACCGTGCAGCGCCCAGGGCCTGTGTCTGCCCACAGCGTGTGTGGGCATGTGTTGCCCAAGGACGACCGCATCCCAGGGACTCTGCAAACAGACACCAGGTGAGGGCACTAATGGTAGCACCTACAATGGTGGAGGGTTGTGGGTCGGCCCTAAGCTCCTTGAAGGATACTTGGAAGACTCCACCTCTCGTTTATCTGTCCCTTCCTTCAAGTGCCTCCTCCTAAGTACTGTTTGCCAGGTGCGGTTGGGCATGGCACTGGTCAGAGGAAGAGAGTAGACAGAACAAGGCTTGCTCTCTTTAAGTTTCAGAGGCCAAGGCAGGAACTAATGGGAAACCATCCAGCATCACTATGGGGAGTGCCCACGGAAGGAAGGGAGGGCATCAGTACA